ACAGTCCTCAACTGGTAACACATCAAGAAAATGTGGCATATCCCTACCAATGAGGATGACTAAGTTAGAGAAAACTGCGAAGGGGCCCGGGGCGTGGCTCAATGGCTAAAGGGGCTGCCGGGAAAGCTGGGGTCTCAAGTTCCACCCACAGTGCCACTGCTGGGGGTGAGCCCAGTCCCAGGAGCGCTGCTGCGACATTTACACAGCAAGCAACTCCGGCCACGTGGCAGCCGGGTGCGAGTGCTTCGACCAAAGGGGTGCAGCTCCCAGCAAGAACCCAGGAAGGACGGCCCCTAGTGAGCGGGTACGTGGGCACCAGCACGTCCACAAACAACACAACTCTAAGGACGGCAGAGCCCTGGCAAGCACACATGCAAGCAGATGGCGACAGGGCGACAGGAGTGAGCCCGACCAGTGCCACAACCAAGCGCGCATCACGCCAGTCATGCTGCCAGTGGAAGCAGTGACCACAATCAACAAACAATGGTGGGGTGGATACTGATACACACACTGATAAAATACCTGATAAAATACCTGCTGGTGCTTTATCTAGTGGGGTTTTGTTGGTTTTTTGGTTTGTTTATTTTTCTAGGGGCCACACCTGGCCATGCTCAGGAGCTACTCCTGGTTCTGTGCTTAAGAGTTATTCCCGTCAGTGCCCAGGGGACTATAAATAAAAGATGTCAGGGATCAAACCCTGCTCAGCCGCTCAAGGCAAAGAAATCCCTATCTGCTATGCTATCACTCCAGCTCCTGGTCCTATATCTACTTTTAAAAGTTGAATTTTGGGGCTGGAGAGATAGCACAGCGGGTAGGGCGTTTGCCTTGCACACGGCCGACCCGGGTTCAATTCCCAGCACCCCATATGGTCCCCTGAGCACCGTCAGTAGTAACTCCTGAGTGCAGAACCAGGAGCAAACCCCTGTGCATCGCCAGGTGTGACCCAAAAAGCAAAAAAAAAAAAAAAAAAAAAGTTGAATCTTGGGAGCAAGGAAGAGTGCCCAAGTGGTAAATCACATCCGAGCACAAGTGAGACCCAAAGTTAGGTCCCCAGCACCCACATGGCCCCTGAGAATCACCAATGTGACCCCTGTTTCAAAAAAAAAAAAAAAAAACAGAATTGAGACCAGAGAGATCACATAGAGGTTTAGGCTCTTGCCTCGCACATGGTTAATTCCTTTGTTCCTTGGCACCACCAGGAGGGTTCCCTAAGCACAGAGCCAGGAGTAAGCCTTGAGCACCACTGGGTGTAGCCCAAAACCAAAACCAAAGTATTTAGCAATGAATCTTTTGGCGTGAGTGACAGTACCAGTAAAACCTGACACACAAAAAAATTGAATATTAAAATTTCAGTTCCTGGGCCAGGGAGGCAGCTGGGAAGGTCAGAGTTCATCTTTTGTGAGCAGCAACTGTGAGTTTGGTCCTCACCAAACCCCCCACTACAGGGCACAACCCCAAACACCAAGCCAGGAGTAGCCCTTGAGCACCACTGAGTATAAGAAAAATTAAGATTCTCAGTTATCCCAGATTCTTTTCTTTTTTTTTCTTTTGAAATAAAAGTTTCATGGAAGGAGGATACTAACTCTAAAAAGACGATGGGATTCTTCAGAGAGAGAAAGAAAGAAGACCGAAAGTAAAGGTAATCCATGTGCTACAAGGTACGGGAAACCCCGAGGCAGACTGAGGTAAAGGCACCCACAGTTGGAAGTGGGGGTCCCGAAAGTAGAGTGTCTCTCCTACCCACAATTCTAAGGCCCCAAAGCCACCTGCATCTCAGGGAGGCAAGGGAAATGCCATCCCACTGAGCCAGGCTCTGTACCATTCCCAGCCGGAAGCAGCACATAGGCCCCCACAATGCAGTAGCTGCTGGAATAAGGCCAGTGAAAACCTGAAGTAGATTCTGGACCAGATGACTTTTTCCTTCATTAATGTCTGCAAGGCAAGAATCCACCAGAAGAAACAAAAACCAAGGGCTGGAGCAATAATACAGCAAGCACACAGGGCACTTGCCTTGCATGCGGCCAACCCAGGTTCAATTCCCAGCACTCCAGAAGCTACCCCAGCCCTGCTAGTAATAATACCTAATTACCAGGACCAGGAAAAAGCCTTCAGCACTGGGGCTGAAGTAATAGCACAGTGGGTAGGGCATTTGCCTTGCATGCGGCCAACCCGGGTTCGATTCCCAGCATCCCATATGGTTCCCTGAGCACTGCCAGGAGTAATTCCTGGGTGCAGAGCCAGGAGTAAACCCTGTGCATCGCCAGGTATCACTCAAAAGGGAAAAAAGAAAAAAGAAAAGAAGCCTTCAGCACTGCCAGGTATGACCCAAAAACAAAACAAAAAAAGCAACAAAACAAAAAGATGACCCAGTGACGACCAAATGGACTAAATTATGGTGGCTTCTGTGTCAATCATTATATGGCAAATCCATCCCACAGATTAAAGTTTCCAGCATCACTCTCCCAAGTACTCACCCACAGAAGAGACAACATGATAGGGGGCGGGGGTGGGGGGACAAGGGTGAAGATGAGGAGGATCCTCATTACAACAATCCTTTCTCTGCAGCAATGGAAACCACAGCAGCACGGCTGGTCAATGCTAGCACCCATCCAAATGGAACAAAGTACAAGAGCCACCCTGTCCCAAAATAAGTATCGGGAGAGCCAGAGACACGATAAGCCAACTGCGGGTGATTGGCAAACTGCAATCAGGGCATGACATTGAAGCTCGCCTCCCACGGGTCCTGGCCAGCTCCCAGGCGGGCACGAGGAAGCTTCCCCTCCCATCCTTTCTCCTGCTCTCTGGGTGGGTCTGGTCCCACCACCCACCTGGAAATACACTCCGCTCTCCACCGGGGTGAAGCAGTCCACAGACCCAAGGGCCCCCAACTCCAGCACCGGAAGGAGGGCTCCGAGGGCTGGAGCCCAAAACACCTGAGAGTAGCATCCCCCAGCCCAGCACGGCGGGATAGGATTCCCCCAAACAAAACCAAAGAGTAGAAAAGAAAGTTCCACTGTTTCTAGATCAACTCTCTAGTCATACTTATTTATGAGAACCTGGTAACAGGTTCTTAGAGATACAGAAATCACAGATGCAATGAAAAAGCAACAGTTTGGGGCCAGAGCAATAGTACAGCGGGAGGTCGCAATGTCCTGCATGTGGCTGACTGACTTGGGTTCCCTACCCAGCAACACGTAAGTCCCCCGAACCCGTACCAGGACTGATCCTTGAACACAGAGCCAGGGGTAAGCCCTTAACTCCGCTGTGGCCTCCAAAAAAACAAGCCAAAAATGAAGAAAGGGAAAAAGCAACAGGTCTGCTTTGTCAACATCTATGCTTCTTAGCTCTAATGGTGCTGAGGATGTAGCTTTTCTAATAAAGAACTTCGGCCAGTTTAGAACTTTGAAAGGGAAAGACAAAGAAGCCAAACCAAATCTAAAAATAAAGGACTCCAACCCCGGCAAGGGGTATTTTCCTGGGCCAAACACCAAGCCCCGCGGCTTTCACCTGCGTTTCTAATATACGGAAATAGATTCGTAGGGGGAAAGAGAAGCAATCCCGCAAGTAAATGAATCAACCAGATGGAAGTACCGTCACACAACTGAATGTTATTGAGCCACAAAGAGCAATAAAGTGCTCTGGCACTGAGACCCGTGGATGAACCTCGAAAACATTATGCTCAGGACAAGGAGCCAGACACAAAAGGTCACCTAAGGACGGATTTCATTTATAGGAAAACTCCTGAAGAGGTTAAAGACACAAAACAAACCTAAGGTTGCCAGGCGCTTGAGGTAGGGGCACAGGGAGTAACTGCTGAGTGGGTCCAGATTTTTTAATTAGGGAATGAAAATGTTTTGGAACTAGAGACGGGTGGGGGCGCACAACGGTGGAAATGTACTAACCACCGTTGAAATGTTCGCTTTCACACATTTAATTTGATGCTATGTGCGTTTCCTCTCATTTTTCCAGAGGAAATGGGCAAAACCAGACACCAGCATGAGAAGACGGGCCCCTCATCTGGGGGGGAGGGAGGAAGGTCAGCACTGCTGGCCTCTGCTTTAACTGAGGACTGCACATAGAGTTCAAGTGCAACATGGCACCAATTCTGCAGCCGGGAGTGGCCGGAGAGTGGGCTCCCAGGTGTACCCTTCTGAAAAGACAAGGGAAGGAAATAAAAACAGGAAAGTTCAGGCAAAAGTAAGGGAAGGAGGCGTGGGTTCCCCCCCCCCACAAACTGCACCCCACCCAACTTGGCACCAGGAATCACGCTCCAATTAGGGTTTCGAAATGCCAGCCTGAGCTGGAATCGGCACCAGCAAGCTTCTCTCCGGGGACACAAAAGCCAGCCACCCAGCAAGAAACGCTGGGGAACTCCATTTGCTGCCCATAACTGCCACGAGCACCGCCCTTGCTCAGAAGCCCCGTGCTGGCCCCTCTGGGCATGGGAGAGGCGGGGGAGGGCAAGAGCCAGGAGCAAGGGGGACTCTCCTCCTGGGGGTCGTGCCCCCAACACCACGAACATGAACATCGGGGGGGGGCCACCTCTGAGCAGCCTGAGCTTAGTAGCCCTTCAGCCCTCCTCCCTTGGGACCAGGCCTGCACGCCTGCACACACGCACGCGCGCACGCCCTGCCCCGCAGGCTTGCCCCACCGGGTGGGGGGCCACGAGGGCGCCCCGAGGGCCCCAGCTGGGCACCCCTACCCAGTCCCAGTCGTCCCAGCACCCCCGGCCTAAGTGCTGTCTCCACGGCCCCTCGCTCGCTGGGCAACGTGCTGGTGCCACCTCCCTGACGCCCAAGCCGAAACAGGTGTCCCTCAGCTCCACCCCGGCCCCCTGAGGTCCTGTCCACTGCAGGCGGGAGGGCCCTTCTCGGGACCCTCGGGCGCCAACGCTCCCTCCTTCCACTGCAGCCCGCCAGCGACGCCGTCTCCGGCGGCCTCCAGCCCGACCCCGACGACCACCGGGCCCCCCGGCTGATCCGGACGCTCCCTCCCCTTACCTGCGGGGGCTCAGCCCTGGCTGACAGGGGGCTGGGCAGCGCCTGGAGGAGCAGGAGCGCCATGCCATGCAGGAGCCTTCTCCTCGCCATCCCCCTCCTGCTCCTGCTCCTCCGCCACGGCGCCGCCACCTCCCTCCTCCCCCTCCCTCTCCTCCTCTTCCCTCTTCTTCCTCCTTCCCTTCTTTTCCTGTTTCACTCTCCCCTCCCGCTTCCGGCTCTGTTCCAGCCCGCCCCAGCCCAAACACCCGCCCAGACGCGGGAGAGGCTCCGCTTCCCGGGCGGCATTGGCCTCTGCCCTTCGTCCATTGATCAAAGCAGCTGTCGGTCAAAGGGAAGCCCCGCCCCCCCGCCCAGCCAATGAAAAGTAGGAGGAAGCCGGGCCATCTTGAGAGGGGCAAAGCCGTGCGAGCAGTCCGGTCCACGGAGAGGCGGAAGTCGCCGGGTGGGGGGCGGGGCCGCCTCGAACGTGCGCTGATGAATCGAATCCGAGTGTGGCCATTTTGAGTGTGGCGGAAGTATTAATTTCTACGGGTCATAAGGGAAGCGGTCTGTTGATTCCAGAGTCGGACGGAAAATAACTTCTTTTGAGCCTAAAAATATTGGCATGATTTTTGTGTCGAAGCTTAGCCCTGTTTACGAGGATCACTCTCTTGTCTCAAGTTACCCAAACAGTAATTTAGGTCAATTTGAATTCCCTACGATATCCTACCTTTACCTGAACTACAGTGCTTTGTCAGCCCAAGTTCCAAGGATAAAGTCTTTTTGTTTCTTGTCTTTGTTTTTTGAGGGGCAGCACCACAGCGCTGCTCTGGGGCCACATCCGTTGGTGCCAGGATTAAACTGGGGCTACTTTAGCCATCTCCCAGGCCAGACAAATTCTATTGACTTCTAAACCCACCCTCAGACCTGCCATCCACATTCTCCTTTTCTGATTAACATAAATGCTGGCCTCCCTGCTGGCCAATTCTTCCCTTTCAGATTCTTTTCACCCACCACAGCAAGAGTGCACTAATCTATAAAGCAAATACTTTAACACCTACAGGATACACCTATAGGTCTCCGAACACCTCCAGGTCCTGTGTGTCCTGGGACCTGCCAACTCCTCTTTATCTCCCCTTCTGCCACTTTCCCGCAGATTACACCCACATCAAATATCTAAAAGATCCTTGAAGGTCCAGTTCCCTGTTTACAAACCTTACTTTCCACCCTTGTTCCTACTTCTAGTCAGGTAACAGTACACAGTGTAGCTAATCTGTAATTTCGCCTACCTGATTCCTCCCACTAATTTTACTTATTGTAGGACACACGCACCAGGTTTTATGTTTTCAAGCAGTCCCTACAACATCCTATTCAGGGTCCACAAGTGAGTTCCATTCACATTGATAAATGAAAACCAAACGATCCCTTGCAAAGCAGCAGCTGTCTGTAGGTGCTGAGTTCCTCCAAAAACCTGCCCGAACATTTTAGTTTTACATGCTGGTCCAGCCTAAGCCAAAGATAAACCCAGAAGGAACTTGTTCTTGGCTTAAATGTTGTCAAGAACGGGAAACAGAAAAGACTGAAGAAGAATCCGTTTTGTTTCAACACAAGAATGTTAAATCAGGGGGCTGGAAAGATAGTACAGCGGGCAGGATGCTTTTTTTGCACATGGTCAACCTGCATTTCGATCCTCAGCATCCCATATGGTCGCTCGAGCACTGTCAGGAGTAATTCCTGAGTGCAGAGCAGGAGTAAGCCCTGAGCACCAACAGGTGTGACCCCTTTCCTCCCCAAGCAAAAAGGATGTTAAATTTGTTAAATCAACACGCATGTTGCCAGCCCATGTGGATGTGGTGCCCAGGCACGTGGTTTCCACATCTCCCGCCCCTTTTGAAATGTGTATTTTCATATTTTAACCCTGGATATGTACTGGAGCTTTCTCCACTTTGGAGAAGCTCACATTCTGTCTACAGCCTCTGTCTCTGTCTCTCTCATTCCTCAAGACTTCCAGATAAAACCTGTTTTGACTTCATAGGGGCTGAGCAATAGCACAATGGGTAGGGTGTTTGCCTTGCACACAGCTGACCCAGGTTCGATTCCCAGCATCCCATATGATCCCCCAAGCACTCCAGGAGTGACCCCCCCGCGAAAAAAAGAAAACTTTTTTGACTTCAAAAAGTGTCAAACAGGGGCTGGAGAGAAAGCACAGCGGGTAGGGCATTTGCCTTGCACGCGGCCAACCCGGGTTCGATTCCCAGCATCCCATATGGTCCCCTGAGCACCGCCAGGAGTAACTCCTGAGTGCAGAGCCAGGAGTAACGCCTGTGCATCGCCGGGTGTGAACCAAAAAAGAAAAAAACAAACAAACAAACAAACAAAAAAAAAACCAGGTCAAACAGTGTCAAACAGGTTGAGCTGTAGTACAGTGGGTAGGGTGTTTGCCTTCACAAGGCCAACATAGGTTCAATCCCTGCAATCCAGATAAGTTCCCCAAGCCCCACCAGGAGTGATCCCCGAGCTCAGAACAAGGAGTAAGCCCTGAGTACTGCTGGGTGTGGCCCAAAAACAAAGAGAGAGAGAGAGAGAGAGAGAGAGAGAGAGAGAGAGAGAGAGAGGTGTCAAACTTTGTCCATCCTTTCTTAAAAGGAAATATTAGCTTTTTGGTCACAGTCATACTCAGGAATCACCATATGGGATCCCAGGAATCAAACCAGGGTCGGCCATGTGCAAGGCAAGGCAAATGCCTACCCACTATGCTACCTCTCCGGATCCTACACCAGTATTCCTCAAAGTGGGCATTACCACCCCCCAGAGCACTGGACTGACAGGAGGAGCAGTAGGTAGCCGCAGTTAAGACGAGGTGGAGGATTAACTTAATGAAAGTGGTTTTTCAGGGAGGTGCTAAGTTTTCCTGAAAAATGGGCAGCAGGTTAAATGAGTTAGGGAAGCTCTGCTTTATTTTTATTTTTCAGAGGAAATCTCTGCTTTAGAGCAGTGGGCCCTTCAAGTGTGGCCCCCATCAACAGACTCAGCATCCCTGGAGAAGACCAGAAATGCAAACCTACAGGCTCCACCCCCAGACACACACACACACACACACACACACACACACACACACACACAATCAGGTCAAAGGATGGGTCTTGCCTCTGCCTGCTAGGAGATCCTGATGCTGGCTTAAGAACCATTGCTCCAGGGCCAGGGAGAAGGTTAAAAACCCTGGAGCCCACACTTACTGCACTTACTTACGTGCATGTGTGCATGTGGGAGCCCTGGGCTCCATTCCCTGGAGCAAGGGCTGAGCACTGGGCCAGGAGTAGCCCTGAGCACTGCTGGGTGGGTGTGGCCCCCCAAAAAACAAATATTGCTCCAGAGTTGGGGAAGCATTTCATGAACAGGGCCTGGTAATACTTTCATTTTACCGCCAACGCAGGGGTCTGTCATGTAGTCCTCTTTCTCTTTTCTCTTAATAAATGCAAGTCATGGTGTGTAATGGCAGGATAGCAGGTAGGTAGGGTGTTGACCTTGCATGTATCGACCTGGTTTCAATTCCTGGCACCCCACAGGTTCCTCCAAGCACACTGAAGTGATCCCTGGGCATCACCAGGAGTGGACCCCAAATAAATAGAATGTTTTTTTTGGGGGGGGGCACACCTGGTGGTGCTCAGGGGTTACTCCCGGCTCTGTGATCAGGAATTACTCCCGGCATGCTCAGGAGACCATATGGGGTGCTGGGCTTCAAATCCAGGTCGGCCGAGTGCAATGTGAACATCCTTCCAGCTGTACTAGCTCCACCTCCTAAATACATATATTCTTTAATATGTCAGGCCTGGAGATTCTGGGCACAAGCTTCGCAGAGGTTCTACCCTCTACACTCTAGTTCCCTGAGCACCAACAGGAGCAGCCCTCCAGCAGAGGCAGGAGCAGCCCCCGAGCACTGGAAGGTGTAGCCCAAACCTAGAATTGATTAATTAAAATAGAATTTTTAAATACAAAGCCATTCCTAGTTCCCCCGCCTGAAGAGCAGGGTAGCTCCCAGCAAAGGCGAGCAGCTTCTTCCTCTGCAGGGCAGGACCAGCCGGGCCAGTGGCCTCTGGGTATCTGTGGCCCCTTATCTGTGATACTCCCCTCCTCACTAAGGTCAAGGTCAGATCCTGACCCTGGTAGCCATGCCTTATTTGGTGAGCTGGCAGACGTTCACCTGTATTTTTTTCAGAAAATGACTTTCCTTCCCTGGGATAGCCCCTGCTTGTCTGACGATACCAAATGCAGACCCAGACCCGGGCTAAGGCGGAGAAGCCACAGCAGGCCCCCAGCTGGCGCTAAAGGAGCCGCCTGGAGAGGGGCTGGTGGGGAGTGGAGGGCAGCACAGACGCACGGGTCCCAGCAGGCCCACCAGTCGATTCTCAATAGACTGCGGTGAGGAAGGGAGGAAGGATTCCATCACCGTGATGAGCACACAACAGCCTGTTTCTTGCCATGATCACATTTCTCTTTCCAAAGCCAAGAAGAGTCAGGCAGAACTCTGGGTTGGGGGAGTGGAGCCAGGGGCAACAACCATGCCCAGGAGGTTGTGGGCACTAAGACCTCCCAGAAGCCTGAGGCTAAGCCTATACGTGAAACGGCTGGGGGTGGGGGGACCATAGGGGCAGTGCGGCAGGGAGGGTGGTGGAAGCAAGGGGAAACACACGTCTCTCCTCTCCCTGAGGCTGCCTGGCTGGGGCAGGGGTAAAAGGGTCCCTGGCTTGAGAAGCTGGGGAAGGGGGCACAGGTAGGGTCTTGCATGCAGCCAATCCAGGTTTGATCCCCGCATCCCATATGGTCCCTCGAGCAATCCCAAGAGTAATATTCCTGAGTGCAGAGCATCACTGGGTAAGACCCAAAAAGCGAACAGAGAGAGGGGAGACGGAAGGAGGGGGAGAAGGAAAGAGAGAGAGAGAGAGAGAGAGAGAGGAGAGAGAGAGAGGGGAGAGAGGAGAGAGGCAGGGAGGGAAGGGAGAGAGAGAGAGAGAGAGAGAGGAGAGAGAGAGAGAGAGGCAGAGGCAGGCTGTGGAAGAAAAGGCAAGAGAAGAGGCTCAAGTCTAGCTCCAGCTAGAACCAGAAATCTCAAAGGTTTCCTCCTTTTTGTTTTTGGGCCACACCTGGTGATGCTCAGGGTTTATTCCTGGCTCTGACCTCAGGAATCTCTCCTGGTAGTGCTCAGGGGATCCTGTGGAATGTCAGGAATCGAACCCCAGGTCGGCCGGTCACATGCAAGGTGAGCGCCCTAGGCACTGTACTGTCGCTCTGATCCCAGGTCTCCTCCTTCACCACAGGTTTGCTCACATACCTTCCCAGGTTCCAGCAACTCCTCCCTGAGGAGTTTGGGGGGGGGGGGGGGTGTCTCCAGGGGAGGGGGCAAAGCAAGGAGCAGACAGAAGACTGCAGCTGTTTGGCCTGTTTCACTTTTATCCCCTGAGGTCCAGTCAAGCAGAGGCCAGGGAGAAGGCTGCAGGCTGGGCGGGGAGAGGCGGTTAGAGACCCTTGTTGAAGTAGACGTAAGGCATGGTGTCCCCGTATGTGGCCTTGATGGTGTCTTGGAGTTCTGGTTCCAGAGAGGAAACTGGAAATTCGCTGAAATGAGAGAAGGGAGTGAGGAGCATCCCTGAGGGGGGAACAGAACGGGGTGGGGGCTGGAGCCATAGTACAGTGGGGAGGGCATTTGCCTCGCACACGGCTGACCCGGGTTTGATTCCCAGCATCCCTTAGGGTTCCCTGAGCACCGCCAGGAGTAATTCCTGAGTGCAGCGCCAGGAGTAACCCCTGAGCATCACCAAATGTGGCCCAAAAGCCAAAAGAAAAAAAGAGCATCCTGGGAGCTGGGGAGATGGTACAGTGGGTAATGTACCTGCCTTGCATGCAGCCAACCTGGATTTGATGCCTGGCACCGCCCCCCCTCCGCCCGCCAAGAGCAGCCAAAAGTGACCCCTGAGCACAGAGTCAGGAGTTAGTCTTGCGTATCACCAAGAGCCCAAAAGTCCCAAAAATCAAAACAAGAGCATGCCACTCAAGCGAGCAGCCAAAGGCCTGCAGATAAAACTTATGTATCACCTCTCAGAAATCCCCACCCTGTTTTTTTCTATCAGGTTCTTTTTGCTTGTTGGGCTTTTCAATTGTTTCAGAGCCACACCTAGCTACTCCCAACTTAGTGCTCTGGAGACCATGAGGTGCTGGGGAATCAAACCCGGGCCTCCTGAATACAAAACAAAGCATAAGCTTAAGCATTCTGAGTTACTTCCCTGGCCCTCCACCGGAATTTTTCTGGGGATGTGGTGTGAGGGTTGGGTGTTAAATTTTGGGGCACACCCAACTGTGGTCAGGGATCAGGAGATATCTCTTAGCATAGATCCAGGAGTAAGACTGAGCAAAGCTGAATATTGTCCAAAAAGCAAAACCAAAACCAAACGCTATTAATAATAATAAAAAGGAAAGTAAATAGAAGATATGTTTCTACTCGGGCTGAAGCGATAGCACAGCGGTAGGGCGTTTGCCTTGCGCACAGCCAGCCCGGCTGAGCCAGGTTCAATTCCTCCGCCCTTCTTGGAGAGCCCGGCAAGCTACCAAGAGTATCTCGCCCGCACGGCAAAGCCTGGCAAGCTCCCCGTGACGTATTCCATTTGCCAAACACAGTAACAAGAAGTTGCACAATGGAGACGTTACTGGGCCCACTCGAGCAAATTGATGAACAACGGGAGGACGGTGACAGTGATGTTTCTACTCAGTGCACAAGTGGAAACCTTCCTTTTTGGTGAGATTGTGGGGTGGGAGTTGGGCCTCACTAGTCAGAAGGTGCTCAGGGACCATATAAAGTGGCAAGGGTGGAACTGGAACTGTGGCAGTCTGATTGCAAAGCAAGTGCCTTAACCCCTGTACTATTACTATCTCTGCCCTAAGTGAACAAATACAAAGCTCCCCCCAGTGGAACCTAAATGTGTGTGTGTGTGTGTGTGTGTGTGTGTGTGTGTGTGTGCGCGCTGGGTGTACCCTTCACTGTGTGTGTTGGGAGAAGGGGGTATATCTTCCACTGGTGTGTGTGTCTGTGTATTTGGTGGGTATACCCTTCATTGTGTGTGTTGGGGGAGGAGGGTATATCTTCTACTACAGGATATACTGCTTTAGCAGATGACAACTGAACTGCCTCCCTAAGAAGGGAGAGGGACAAGACTTTTCACTGGATATCGACAAGCTCCAGATCGCTGGGGCTTCCCATCCCCGGTTTTCTGTTGTTGTTGTTTTTCTTTTTATTTTATTTTTTGCTCTTTGGGTCACACCTGGCGATGCACAGGGGTTACTCCTGGCTCTGCACTCAGGAATTACCCCAGGCAATTCCTGCTCAGGGGACCATATGGGATGCTGGGAATCGAACCCGGGTCATCAGCGTGCAAGGCAAACGCCCTACCCGCTGTGCTATCTCTCCAGCCCCTCCCATCCCTGGTTTGATGCTTTCTCCCCCTTCTCCATCATCCCTTCCTATCTGCTGCTCCCCACTGAGGCCATGCAGGAGAAATGGCAAGACCCTCGTCATCCACTCTCTGAGCCAGGAGCCAGAATAACTCCCAACTCTTCGTTCACATTCACAGACGTGGGGAGATGCAGCTCCCGAAAGCGGAAATGCGGAAAGGCCGGAGCTGTGGCCCTTCCTCAGCTCCCTGGAGACCCGCCTGGGTTACTGGTCCTCCGGGACTTTCTGGCCAGCATTTGGACCAACATGCACTTGTCCCTGGACTAACGCCGCCCTTCCTGTCCCAGCAGTTTACCATATCTGGGGGAAGAGCGCGCATCCCACCGGCACCATGAAGACGAGGCTGCAAAGAAAGGAGAAAGCACCGCGTGAGGGGGCACCCACGTGCCTCCCAGCCCCTCCTGCCAATCCTCCTGTGGCCTCCCCCAGCCCTGATGCCCCTGCTGAGTTCACAGGTGTGGGAGCAGAAGCCCCCGTGCCTGCAGGCCCCTGCTGGTGTGTAGGGAAGGCAGCAGGGTGGGAAGGCCACGGACCTGTCCCTGCGACCAATGGGCACTGGGCTGTTCCGGGACAGCTTCCCAAGCCACCGCACATGCAAGGAATTGGTTAAAGCTGCTAACACGTGATGCTGACTCAGCAGGCCAAAGGGGGCCAGGGAGCGCTGAGCCTGGCTGGCGTTCGGGCCTGCACCTGCAGGCAGGCATCTGTGGTGCTGGAAATCGGACCCCGATCTCCATGTGAAAACATGTACTCAACCACGGGGTTAGACCCAGCGTGGCTCAGGAGTGACTCCCAGTCCATGATCAAAGGACTCTCCCAACAGTGCTCAGGGGTCCCGCCTGGGGCTCCTCCTTGCAAAGCTTGTGCTCCAGTCCTCTGGACTCTCTCTTCCTGGCACAGTCCTGAGTCTCAGTTTTTCTAACAGGTTCAGTTGATACAGGTCTTGGGGCCACAGGACAGAGGATTCAGAAGTTTGGGGGCCACATCCAGCCTATGCTCAGGGCTGACTCCTGGCTCTGCATTCAGGGATCACTCCTGGTGAAACCCGGGGACCATATGGGGGGTGATGGGGAACTGAACCCCTATAAGGCAAGCATCCTACCCACTGTACCGTCTCTCCAGCCCCAGGATCCGGGATTCTAACAGAGCTGGGTTCGCAGCTCTGCAGCCCTGCCACACTTCCCAGGGAGCCTCTTTCACAAGAGGATTAATTGAGAGAACAGGTAAAGCACCTAGTCCGGGGGGACTGCTCACTTAGTGGGAACCACATCAGCAGAAGCTACGAGAGCACAGCATTCGCTAGGACGTGGGTGTGGCCCCCAGCTCAGCTCTGGCAATTACCAGCTGGACACCCTTGGGGAACCCTCTCCACCTCTGGAAGCCTCAGCATCATCATCCTAAAGAGTGGTGAGGCGTGGGGGCTGGAGCGATAGCACAGCGGGTAGGGCGCTTGCCTTGCACATGGCCGACCCGAGTTCGATTCCCAGTGTCCCATATGGTCCCCTGAGCACCGCCAGGAGTGATTCCTGAGTGCAGAGCCGGGAGTAACCCCTGAGCATCACCAGGTGAGATACAAAGAAACTAAATAAAGAGTGGTGAGGTGAGAGGCTGGAGCACTAGCACAGCGGGGAGGGCGCTTGCCTTGCACATAGCTGACCCAGGTTGGATCCCTCGCATCCCCATTCAGATCCCCCTGAGTGCAGAGCCAGAAATTAGCCCTGTGCATCACTGGGTGACGCTTCCAGGGCTGAGGAAATCCAAGGCCATCCCAGGAAGCCTTAGCGCAGTGGGAACAGCTCACACAGAATCCAGCTTGGTGGGGCGGGGACCCGGAGCTGCAGCTGGCACTGGATGCTGGGCACTGGCCAGCCAATGGAGGCCTCTGAGAGCGACCAGGGGTGGGGGGTGCTTCCTCTGGAGCACTTGGCAACCTCAGGCTGTCTCATCATGTATGTGCATTTTTTTTTAGGAACGCGGGAGCTGTTACTCCTGACTCTGTGCTCTGAGGACCCTGTGGGGAACAGGATGCGGGTGGGGGGACACGTAGAGGGGATATATGTAAGGTAAGCGCTTTATCCCCCATCCACATCTCCAGCCCATCATCATTTAAACTTCCTAAGTGACTGGTATTGGGATGTAAAGGAACTGTGACTGCAGGTTGTTGCAGGGCTGTGTCCACCGTAACACTCCCTAGCACTCCCAACACAACACATCATTATCATTTTTTTTTTTGGTGGGGGGGCTTGTCTCAACATTTTTGTCTTTCTGCTAAAAATGCAGGGGCTGGAGAGATAGCACAGCGGGTAGGGCATTTGCTTTGCACACGGCCGACCCGGGTTCGATTCCCAGCATCCCATATGGTCCCCTGAGCACTGCCAAGAGTAACTCCTGAGTGAAGAGCCAGAAGTAACCCCTGTGCATCGCCAGGTGTGACCCAAAAAGCAAAAAAAAAAAAAAAAAAAAGCTTCAGACCTAGAATCAGAGACAAGATCCAGGGGCTGGAGCAATAGTACAGCAGGTAGGGTGGTTGCCTAGTACATGGCCAACCTGGGTTTGTTCCCCAGCACCCCACCCGATCCCGAGCCTGACCAGGAGTGATCCCTGAGCGCAGAGCTGGGTGTAAGTCCTGAGCACTGTCAAGAGTGAGAGAGAGGGATGGGGGAGGGGGGTCATTCCACTTTCCATGTGAATGTGTGATTTAGCTCAGCCAATCAGACCCACCCTGCTCCCTCCCCCACCAAAAAAAAAAAAAGTTGGGACAAGAGCGAGGCCAACAGCCCAGAGGTGTTCTGAGCCAGGCGTTTTGGAAGCCAGGTGAAGGGTCATATGCTTCCAGGCAGCGGCAACAGACCTTGGGGATCCTGGGGCCCCCAGAATCCAGAGCTGGAAACTGTGATACTCACAAGCACCCACACAGCAGGACCTGCAAGGGGGCGTGCAGCGTCTTCACTTTCTGCAACAGGACAAACGAGAGAGGGACGGACACGGCACTGAGGGACGCTGCGCTGGCCTCTATGCCCGCCCATCATGGTCAGCGTCCAGGGGCCAGCCAGCATGGAACAAAGGGGGTCTGGGGTCCCCTCGCCCTCCAGATAGGGCATGGAGGCAGGTGCTGGTGTCTCAGGGCAGTGAGAGGGAGGGGCGAAAGGACGGGCGGGCCCCACCTACCTGCATGAAGCGCAGTTTCTCCAGCCGCTCCATGATGATGGGCAGCAAGACTGGAAGAGACCAGGGGAGAAGCCGGGGTCAGTGGCTGGTTTCCCCAGGCCCCTCACGAAAGCTGGGGGGAGACTGAGTTCTGCTCCCTCTTCCGAGAGTCTCCAGAAGACACTTCCATTTGGGAAGAAGGAGAAGGGGCGTGTGGGCTCCGTCTTCCTTGACTTCCTCCAGCCGGCAGAAGGCGCTTCTCAAGTCCCCCCAAGCCTGCGGCCCGGAGTCATGGGACAAGTAACCAGAACTCTCACTGGACTCAGCAGACAAGGTCCAGGTCCCCCCACTCCATGGACCCCACACCGAAAGTATTTGATAAACGGCTGCTGGCAGGAAGGACTTCCTCCATCAACCGCTAATAGACATCCTAGGAGTGGTAGAGTGGGACCCCCCACATCTCAACACCCCAAGAGACCCCAACACTGAGTGTGACTGCAGTCTCTGCCCTGAATCCCGGGGTTCCCCAGGACGGGAGGGAATCCCCCACTTACTCATGCCAGGAGCACAGATGGTGATCCGAGAAATGACCACCTGGGTGATGCCGAGAGCTGCCGCTCTCTGGACAGAGAAACAGGGTGAGAGTCAGAAGCTGCACAAAGCGGGAGGGCAGGGGGAGGGCTGAGCCAAGGATGGAGATGGGGCTGGGGGAGCCCACAAAGCCCGCTCCCCTCCCCCCCCCCGGCCACGCTTGCAGGGCCCCAGGTGAAGGAGAAACACCGTGAGTGGCCTGCTATGGACAGGGCCCGAGTCCGGGAGAGGCTCTCTGCTCGCTTGGGGTCCCCGACAGTCAGGACAGGGGCTGCTCACCCGAGACTGACCGATCTCGTTCTGATTCCTGTCCTTCACGCAGATGCCCTGGAGCAGCTCCCTGTGCAGAGACAGGCGGGATGGACACTGCCCAGCCACAGGACAGCAGCTTCGGGAAGGCCCTGCCTGCAGTGCGGCCCCCCGCCCCTCCCCAGCCTGGCGAGTGAGGCCTGGGAGTGTTCCCCGCAGGGGCGAGAGCCAGCCCTGCATCCAGACCCAGAAGTGGACATGGTGATCGTGAGCAAATTCCATCAACCGTACGAAGAGTAAATTATCCTCATCTGCAGGACGGGGCCAGGTCCCCTGCGACCAGGTAAGGAGCAGAGCAGACAACCCCACAACATGCTCTCTGCCCGGCCCCTGGCGTGGGGGATGGAGCGATGGCTCTCGAACCATTTCTGTCTTTATTCGGGGGACGGGGTGGGAAGGGGGTTTGGGCCAAACCCAATGCTGCTCAGGGTTTACTTCTGGCTCTGTGCTCAGGGATCACGCCTCAGGCAACTCAAGGACCATCCGGGGTGGCATGCATCAAACTGCAACCGCTCACGTGCAAGGCAAGCGCCCTACCCTCTGTACACTCTCTCTGGGCCCTGCATCCATACAAGACTGGGGCCGGTGACGTGGCTCGGGGGCAAAGCATCTGGCTTGAGTTTGAGGCCCCGGGTTTGGTTCCAGACATCATACCACACACACACCCTGCCACACACACACACACACACACACCTGAAAAAACACTCCACCAAGGCAGGGCGCGGGGACTCGGTCCTTTGTTGAAAGGAGTAACTGATGTGAAAGGGAGAAAAATGGGGCCTGGAGCTTGGGCTACTAGTGACATGTACCACAGGGAGCAGGTCGGGACAGTCCCAAGGATATGAGGCGTGTAGGCAGCAGAGGAGATAAAGGCAACGACAACCAGAGCAGCAACGGCAGCTGATGGGACATGGCTTTTTGTCATATCCCAGGCCCTGCTCTGAGTGCGTTAGGGCTCCTTCATCTTCCTTCGTGGCGGAGCCAGGGGTTGAACCCAGGGACGCCTCACACACAGAGCTGTACCGTGAAGTCCCACGGGCCCTCCAACATTATAGTTTACATTGGTGTGTGTGTGTATGTGTGTGTGTGTGTCGAGCACAGGGCAAGGCGTGTTTTGCCACAACTGGTGTGCACAGGACTTAGTCCCGGCCCTCACTCCGGGATCATTCCTGGCGGGCTTGGGGACCATATGGGACTGCACCCAGCTCAACCCTGTGTAAGATCCCTCTCGGCTGCACTATGGCTCTGGCTCCACATTCAGTATTTTGTAACCAAGGAACATCTCTACGCCCTAGTCCGAACCACGAACCACAGGACAGGCGGGTGTCTCCTCCCGCCTCTATCTGCTTACTACTCTGGCTCCTCCCCTCCCTCCCCCCGACCTTTTCTTGTTATTGGGGGGAGATCTGGGAACCAAGCAGCAATACTCAGAAGCTACTCCTGGCTCTGAGCCCAGGGTCACTCCTGGCGGTGTTCAGGGGACCATACATGACGCCAGGGTCACACCAGGTCAGCTGCATGCAAGGCAAGCGCCTTACCTCCTGTCCTAGCTGTCCGGCCCTTCTATGACTCCTTGCAAAGCGTCTTGGCTCCCTTCTCTCTTTGGACACCTCGTTGGGCTACCATTCCTTCCGGAAGTCAGCCCCAGGGCTTTGGAAGTCGGCAGCGTTCACAAACTAACTACGGTGGCGGTTGAAAGGACACGATCCAGCATGAACCCCGTGGGGCCGCCCTCTCTGCCCGCTTCCAGCCCAGAGGAGACGCGTCCATCCGCCCGCCAGCCAGTCCCAGGGCCACAGCGCCCAAGCTGGTGCATCTTCTCCAGGTACTGCCAGAGGCTCTCCCTTCATCCCTCCCGCCCCAAGAAACCCCCCTCCCCTCTACCCTCCAGCTCCCAGAAGCCCCCCCACCGCCTGGTTTCTTGCCCTTGCCCTGGTAACCTCAGGGTGTGCAGGGAGGGAGGGGGGTCTCTATACTCACTGCTGTCGCATCATTGGGATGTTGATGCAGTTGGCTGCGGCCACCGCAGCAAAGGGCACCCAGCGGCCCACCAGGGGTGGCGCTCTCTGGGGACAAGAGGGAACAGGGTAGTTTAGCTCACTGGACACTGGGAGGAGGGGGATGGCAGCTCAGGGACGTCAGCTCTGCCACACAGTTGGGACTCCTTCTGAGACCTAAGAGAGACCCACCAGGGCCACCTTCCCGGCTGCCTTTCCCCCCACAGGCCTGGGCTCGGGCCACAACCAGCAATGCCCGCCACCCACCCCCCCCCCCCACCCCCCCCCACCCCCCCCCCCCCCCCCCCCCCCCCCCCCGCTGCCGCGGGAGAAAGCTGCTTTCCCTGGGACTTGGCTGCCCCCTAGTGGCTGACGTGCCCACCACCACCCTGGACAGTACCTTTGTCAGCATGTTCATGCCCACGGCAGTGGCCACTGCTGTGGTGGTGGCTGTGACGTAGGAAAGGGCCATCTGCCTAAGGGGACAGAGAGTTGCTGAGGGCCAGGACTGAGCGTGAGTGAGGGTCTGCAGACGGACTAGGAGAGAGCGAGTGACCGCCCAGCCCGGAGGGTGCTCCAGCAGGCCTGCTTTCAGTTCAGAAGGTTTTAAATTTTTTTTTCTTTCTTATTTTGGTTTGCGATATGCCTCTCGGAGAGCCCAGCAAGAGTATCCCACCTGCACGGGCAGAGCCTGGCAAGCTCCCCGTAGCATATTCGATATGCCAAAAACAGTAGCGACAACAATCTCATTCCCTTGACCCTGAAAGAGCCTCCAATCGTTGGAAAAAACGAGTAAGAAGAGGCTGTTAAACCTCAGGGTTCTGGGAGCTGGAGCAATAGCGCAGAGGGTAGCGCGTTTGTCTTACACGCGGCCCACCCAGGTTCGATTCCTAGCAACCCTGAGCATGTCAGGAGTAATTCCTGAAGTGCAGAGCCAGGAGTAACTCCTAAGCATTGCTGGGTTTGACCCAAAAAGCAAAAAATAAATAAATAAAATCTCAGGACTTGGAGAAATAGAGACGTTACTGGCGCCTGCTCCAGTAAATCCATGAATGAGATGACAGTGATACAGTGATATTTTGGTTTGTGGGAAGTCACATCCAACAGTTCTTGGGGGCTAGTCAAGGTATGGTAGGGCAGGGACAGGGCTCCTGCAGCTCTGGGTTGCCAGTGAGCCCTCGGGCCTCTGGCCTCCTCTCCAGACCTTTGTTTGGTACTTTACACAGGCCAGCACTTCCTGCCTCCCTGCCTTGGAGCCCACGTGCACGCACAGGGGTCCCCCGGCCTCTACTGGCTGATGCCTGACTCTGCATAGCTCAGCTGTGCCGGCAGCTTGGCAGAGTGCCCCCACCCCCACCCGCCTTTCCTGCAGAGAGGCCATTCTGCCCTCTGGCTTCCCCCTGAGGCAGCCGTGCCTGGCATCTGGTTTGTTGGTTTTTCTAGGGGGGGCTTAGGGAACCCACATTTGGAGGTACTCAGGGCTTACACCTGGCTCTGCGTTCAGAGATCACTCCCGGTGGTCTCGGGAGACCATACAGGAGGCCGGGCACTGAACCTGGGTCGGCTGCATGCAAGACAAGCACCCAAGCCAATGGACTCCAGCCCCGGTGCCCATCTCCTGACGAAAGACCCTCATTCAGCGAGCACGGGCACCTCCTGGCTCAGCCAAGCGCACCCCCGCACCCACTACCCACCGACGGCTCTGGTCACGCGCTCTGGGGCATGAGCACCGCTGGGACTGTCCGAGGCGGGGCTGCTCCCCTGCCCAGACTAAGAAAACACTTGCCAAACCCCAGAAAGCGGAGACAAGGGCAGCCGAGACCCTCTCAGACAGGATGTCCCTGAGGAGGAGGCGGGTGGCGGCCGGGCCAGATTGAGAGACCCCCGCCAGGGGCTTGGGTCGCCTACCTGCCGGACGTGGGGGAAGCGGCGTTCCTGTTGGTGTAGTTCACCAGGGCGTTGAAAGACTGGTTCACCCACTGCCAAAAGACCACCGCCGGCACGGTTCTGCAGGCACAAAAGGGGGAGGGCACGGCACGCCTGTCACCCACCTACCCAGCAGCCCCCAGACTCACTTTGCGTGCCAGCTCACTTTGGCTCCCGGCCCAGGCTGCTCCCTGGACCTGGCATGTCCAGCCTCCCTCGAGGTACACGGCAAACCCTGCTCAGCTGACAGAGCGCTTCCTCCGAGAAGCCTTCCTGATCCTCTCCAACTCTTCCTGAGCTAGTCAGGCCAAGCTCCTTTCCCCCAGGACCCCATTTCCCACCTCTCCCATCCCCACCCCCACCTACCACCTGGGAACTAGGTGGCAACTGTTCATCCATCAGCTCAACAACACTGGTGATCCCTCGAGGAAAGGTCTGAGGATTTGTTGGGTTTTTTTTTTTAAGTCCCAAACCCTGGCTTAATAATTGTACTTGGACTTGGCTTAATAATTGTACACACAGGCTTGTTCTTCAACAGGCTTGTTCTTCAAGCCTGTGCCCTCACTTGCTTGTCTCAAAGTTTCTTAGCCTGCCAGTTTCCACTCTTTCTTAACCACACGATCTCTCACGATCTTTCTCTCTCTCTCTCTCTCTCTCTCTCTCTCTCTCTCTTTCTCTCTCTCTCTCCTCTCACATCTTTCTAAATTAGCTCCAATAAAAGCTTTCTGGGGCTGGAGCGATAACACAGCAGGTAGGGCATTTGCCTTGCACATGGCCGACCCAGGTTCTATTCCTAGCATCCCATATGGTCCTCCGAGTACCGCCAGGAGTAATTACTAAGTGCATGAGCCAGGAGTAACCCCTGTGCATTGCCGAGTGTGACTCAAAAAGAAAAAAAAAAATCAATTTTCTTACTTCAGGGTTGGAGCAATAGTACAGTGAGAAGGGCGTTTGCTTTGCATGGCTCTAACCCCTAAGTATCACCGTGTGACCCCCCCCCCAAAAAAAAACTAAAATCCTTTTTGTCTTCACGAATAAATAAATAAATAAATGGGCAAACTGTGGCAGAGGCAGGGAGGACAGGAAGGGGAAAAGTGACTCAAGGCCGGGCCGTGAAGCCAGTGCATTAGCAGAAGCGAGAAAGGGCCTAAGTTCTGCTTCACCAGGGCCGCAGGCTACAAAAACTCATGCAGGGCTGCACAAGGGCTCGAAGGCCTGGAGCACACGTCCAACGTCGCAGGACCCGGGGTTCAATTCCAGGCACCGCGTAGCCTCCTGAGTACTAGGTGGAAGGCTGGTGGCCCCCAGTACCACAGGGAAGCCCCCTGCCCTAGACATACATTCAATGCATTACTGAAGAAACTTTTGGATTTCGGTATTTTGCTTTGATTTGGGGCTGGGGGTTGGGGAGGGGGGAGGGACACACCTGGCAGTGCTCAGGGGACCATACAGGATGCCGGGAATGGAACCCGGCTCAGCTATATGCAAAGCAAACGCCCGACCCACACCGGGATGCTTGCCTGTGACTGAGTTCAGGCTGGCAATGACTGTACTGGAGGGATGGGAGGCACGAAGGGGGGTGGGGGCGTGCTGGAGGGGATGTGGCTGCTTTCAGGGCTTCCTGCACACCAAGCACCCGCCCCAGTCCTGCGCCAAAACCCAGACCCTGAACAATCACTCTAGGGAGGAGTGTCTCCATGTTCCTCCAGGCAGCGTCCCTCTGAGGACGATCTCTAGCGTGGAATACACACCCGAGGGCCCCCCCTCCCGCCTGTGCCCTCCGCGGCCCTCTGCCCAGGACACCCAGCACCCCACCCCCACCCCAGCTGCTCGGGTCGCACCTGTAGAACTGGAGCATGAAACCGGTGATGATCATGCCCCCGGGGACCTGGAAGGACATGCGCCCCATAAAGTTCATCTTCTCCCCGGTGTCTGGGTGGAAGGCCGAGTCGTACAGCTTCTTGGCGTACAGCAGCTGCTCCGGGCGGGTGCCTGGGGGTACCACCCCCAGCCTGCCCCCCGCACAAGGGGTGCGGTCACCTCCTGGCACCCACAAGGATGCCCTTCACCACACCTCCCTCCTCCTGCCTCCCCGCCAGCCCCCACCTCCTCCTGAGCCCCTCACCTGCTCTTCTCCACCATCATCTTGGCCCAGTCTAGCTCCCGCTCCGGAACCAGGGCAGTGCGGGGGTCTGTGATATTGAAGAAGTGCTTCACCCGCCCCCAGAAAGTGCACTGGTCCCAACGAGGGGCATCGATGTCAAAGGCCGCCATCCTGCTCACACTCGGGCTGAAGGATGGGGGGAAAGGAAGATGGGACCCAGCAGAAGAGTTTCCCCCAGGCTCTGAGACTTGCACCGGGGAGGCGGCCCGCCTGCCTTCTTCCTGGCTTCATCAGGTTGAGTGGTGGGATATGGACGTGTACATCCTGAGTGCCTGCCAGTGGCCCCATCCTGTGCCTGACCACACTGGGGGGGAGGCCACAGAAAGGGAAATCTCCACCTGGCCATGGGGAGCCTGAGTCTGAGCCAGGAACAAGAGCCCCACTGTGCAACAGCAATCAGACATGTGAGGGGAAGCAGAGCAACCCAAAGGGGCTTTCTGGAAGAGGCAGCACGTGAGCAAAGTCCCAGACGATAGAACAGACTTGGTCTGATATAGGAAGACAGTACAATGGCAGGGCACTTGCCTTGCACGTTCCACCCAGTTCGGTCCCCAACACCCCAGGGCCAGAGTGACAGTACGGCAGGTAGGGTATTTGCCTTGCACGCAGCCACTGGGTTTCAGTCCCCAGCATCCCATATGGTCTCCCAGTATCACCAGAAGTAATTCCTGAGTGCAGAGCCAGGAGTAGTAACCCCTGAGCATAGCCGGTGTGAATCCCCCCACCCCCCGCCACACACACACACACACACACACACACACACACACACACGCAAAAAGATCCCCAGTAACCTTGCAGTCCCCAACCTTGCAGTCCCCGCAGCCCTCTAGATGTGATTCTGAGTGCAGAGCTCAAGAGTAAATAAGCTGAGGGGCTGGAGCGATAGCAGAAATGCCCTAGTAGGGCGTTTTCCTTGCATGCGGCTGACCTGGGTTCAATTCACAACATCCCATATGGTCCCCTAAGCATCGCCAGGAGTAACCCCTGTGCATTGCTGGGTGTGACCCAAAAAGAAAAAAAAAGAGTAAATAAGCCGAAGGGGTGGGTGTTGGATGACTGTATGATTAAAACTCAAACCTGAAAGCTTTGTTACTGTACCTCATGGTGAATCAATAAAAATAAAATAAAAAAAAAAGAGTAGGGGCTGGAGTGATAGCACAGCGGGTATGGCGTTTGCCTTGCACTCAGCCAACATGGCCGACACAGGTTTGATTCCCAGCATCCCATATGGTCCCCCGAGCACTGCCAGGAGCAATTCCTGAGTGCTTGAGCCAGGAGTAACCCCTGGGCATCGCCAGGTGTGACCCAAAAAGAAAAAAAAAAAGAGTAAATAAGCCCAGGGCAGTGCTGGAGAGATAACACAGCGGGTAGGGCAGGGCGTTTGCCTTGCACAAGGCCTACCCAGGTTCGATTCCCATCATCCCATATGGTCCCCCAAACACTGCCAGGAGTGCAGGAGTGACCCTTGAGCATCGCCAGGTGTGACCTGAAAAGAAAAAAAAAAAAAAGCCCAGGGCACCACCTGGTGTAGCTCTAAAATGACAAATAAGAAAAAAAGGAGCCAGAGAGAGAGAGAGTACAGCAGGTGAGGTACGGCCGTTGCATGTGGCCACCCCAAGTTTGATCCTCGGCACCACATACGGTCCACCAAGCACCTCCAAGAGTGATCCATGAGCACAGAGCCAGGAAAAAGCCCTGAGTACTGCCAAGTGGGGTCCAAACAATGTGCAAGGTCCAGGGAGAGAACTTGCATGTCTGAGACCCAGGGCCCAGGGTTCTATCCCAGACTCTGCCAAAAACTCCAGTAAACACTTGTGTGAGCTCGGCAGGCAGGAGTGAGGCAGGCCCAGGCATGGCTGAGCTGCAGCTGGAATCTCCGACCTGGAGAGGGGGGTTGGGCACCCTTTTTTTCAAGGGACTGCATATGATTAAGTCAGGTCACCCAAGAAGGAAAATCTCCCTTTGGATCTAACGTAAAGCCAACCAATTAGGGGACCTAGGGAACTTTCTTCACCGGGATACCCAGAATGGAGTTTGGTGGATCACTGGAAGAGGTGGGGGCACTCCACGGGGATGGACACCCTTGCCAGCTGGACACACACTAGAGGGGGTTCCAGCCAGTTCTATTCGAACTAGCCAAGCTGACAACTGGACCAAGATCTGAAGCGAAGCCTGAGATTTCTGAGGCAGAAGCGATAGAAAAACAGGATTTGAAGACGATGTGTGGATCTTTTCATGTTGCATTGCAAGAAGCAGGAGACTTCCTTAAATGAAGAGAGGGCCCGTCCCAAGTCCTTCAAACGCCTGCTCCCATCCATGATGCTGCTCCTTCCCCTCTGCACTAAAGGTCATCTGCCTCTTCCACCCTCAACCCCACCCCAACCCACCCTCAGTTTTTGGGGGACACCCAGCTGCATTCAGGGCTTATTCCTGGCTCTGTGATAAGGGATTACCCCGGGCTGGGCTCGAGGAATTAGCTATGGTGTCAGTGCCGGGATGAACCTGGGTTGGCCCCATGCAAAGTAACACCTAAAAGCATGTGCTACCTCTCCAGCTCCGGTCTTTCATCTTAAAGGTTTGAAACATAGCCTCACACCAGTGAGAACGGCACATATCAAAAAGTCTGGAAACAGCCAGTGTTGAGGTGAGAAAGACACTCTCATCCACTGTTGGCACAAATACCATCTGGTTCAGCCCCTGTGGAAAGCAATACGGAAGAGATAGAACAGCTAATAGGCTGCCTGCCTTGCATGCAACCGACCAGGGTTCAATCCCTGGCATCACCCGAGCCCCGCCAGGAAGGATCCCTGAGCCTGAGCACATCGCCCCACCAAAAAGAAAAGCTGATGGGGCTGGATCAATAGCACAGCGGGTAGGGCGTTTGCCTTGAACACGGCCGACCCGGGTTCGATTCCCAGCATCCCATATGGTCCCCCGAGTACCACCAGGAATAATTCCTGAGAGCATGAGCCAGGAGTAAGCCCTGTGCATCACTGGGCATGACCCAAAAAGCAAAAATAATAATAATAATAATAAAAAGCTGAGATAGAGCCAGGAAGAAAGATGGTACAAGGGGTTGGAGCATGTGCTTTTATCTAGGAGTACCAGGTTCAATCCCCAGCACCACAGTTTCCCAAGGCACCCCTGGGAATGAGCCCTGAGCACTGATTCAGGATTCATTCCTAAGCACCACCAGGTGTGGTCAGGGAAAATAACAACAACAAAAAAAAAGACTGGAATTAGAATTGGAATAAAATAAAATCATGGGGCCAGAGATACTATTAGTGGCTCTACAGTCCCATAGGTCGCCCAGGACCTGCCAGGAGTCAGTAACCCTGAGCATTCCCGAGTGCAGAGCCAGGAATAAGCCCTGAGCACTGCTGGGTGTGGCCCAAACACAAAAACCAAAAAAGGAAGTAAATAGATAAAGGCAGATATAGGGCAGGAGAGAGCCTGAGGCAGAGAAGCTCTGCAGCCCCCCAGTACTGAACCATCATGCTCACAAAGTGATTCTCACACCTCCTGACGTTGTTCATCAATTTGCTCGAGCGGGCCCAGTAACATCTCCATTTTGAGACTTACTGTTACTGTGTTTGGCATATTGAAGACATCACGGATAGCTTGCCAGGCTTTGCCGTGCGGGCAAGATACTCTCGGTAGCTTGCCGGGCTCTCTGAGAGGGGCGGAGGAATCGAACCTGTCTGCACGCAAGGTAAATGCCCTACGGCTGTGCTATCACTCCTATTTAAAAAAAAAAAAGGAATGTATTAGCACATATTTAAGTTCCCTCCTTAAGCCCTCTCCCCCAACTCCGGAGTTCCCTGCAAAGAAGCACCTGTCGTTCAGACCGAGGCTTGACCCGCCTCTCCAGATGTCCCTTAGAAGCAGCCCTTCCATACACCCCCGAAGGCCAGTGCCCGCTACAAGTCCTCTCTGCTGGGAACATTTCCTTTACTTTTTCTTTCTTGTTTTGTTTTGGGGCCATACCTATTGATGCTCAGGGCTTACTCCCGGCTCTGCACTCAAAAATCACTCCTGGCAGTGCTCAGGGGACCATCTGGGATGCCGGGGCTCGAACCTGGGTCAGCCATGTGCAAGGCAAGCGCCCAGCCTGCTGTACTAAACTCTCCAGCCCCCTCTTTTTCTTCCTTTTTGGTATCCAGGTACTTTAGGGGTTACTCCCAGTTCCATGCTGGGTTTGCTCCTGCACATACTCGGGGATCACGCCACACAGGGGATCCAACCTGGGTTTCCCCTATGCAAAGCAGGGGCTCTGGACCCTCAAGAGCAGTTTTTATTTGGGGGAGGGGGTCACACCAGCGATGCTCAGAGGTTACTCCTAGCTGTGCTCGGGGGACTATATGGGATGCCAGGGATCAAACCCAGGTCAGCTGTGTGTAAGGCAAATGTCCTATGCTCTGTACTATCACTCCGGCCCCCAAAGTGTTTCTTTAATGCGATGCCAGGTTCTCATCAAGGCTGGTGTGATGAGAAATACCACGCACTTTCCCCACGAGGCGACGCACTCTTTGAAGTCCAGGGTTCCGTCCATTTTGTTCATCTCTGCTGCCCCAGTATCTCCCCCGAGCAGCCAAGTCTTCACTGGGTATGAGGCTCTCTATACAGCAGCACCTGGACACTGAGGCTCAGAGCAAGCTCTGGGTCCAGAGGCCAGAGAACTCCAAAGGGGGAGTTCTGGAGATGGGCACAGAGCTGGAGTGATAGGACAGCGGGGAGGGGTTCTTGCCTTGCACGTGGCCATCCCGAGTTCAATCCCCAGCATCCCATACCACCCCCAACCACCACCTCCAGGAGTGATTCCTGGGTGCGGGGCCAGGAGTAAGCCCTGAGCATCACTGGGTGTATGGCAAAAATCAAAAAGAAAATGATGGGCCCAGTGGACAAGCACAAGTAGGAGGTAGAAGAGCCAATGAGTGTGGCAGATGTATCGTGGTAGCCACCGCAGGGATTTCCTGCCGGTGGGAGAGCCATGCGCTGACGGGTAAGTGGGAGCGGTGATTTCTCCAGGGGGAATAAGCCACAACACGGGGCTTGAACAAAGCCTGTCTTTAGCCCTTTTCATGGGCAGGAGGGTAAAGGGGAGGTTTAGCCAAACCCAGCAGTGCTTAGGGGCTACCCCTGGCTCCAGCCTCAAGCATCAGTGCTGGCAGGACTCAGGCTATCCATAAGCAGTGCCTGGACAGAACCTGGGTCAGCAAGTGCCTTACCTCTGGACTCAGTCTCCAGCCCTGGGAACTAGGCATTTGTTTTTAAAGCCCTTGGCCTGTCCCTAACCTCAAAACTCCCATGGCAACCTCTGAAGAAGTCAGAGGCCAGAGAGCAGTGGCCGTGTCCAGCACGCCCACATCCGCCCCTCCCGCTCCACTCTCCAGGGACAGGCTGGGCCGAACACAAAGGCATTTCACCCAGAACCAGCTGACCCCAGGAGTGGCAGGGCCCAGGAGGTCACAGTCCTCGACGCTGACAGAGCCCCCTCGGGAGAGAGCCTGGCCTCCCCCTGCCTCCCCCTCCCACCACAGACATACACGGGGCGTTCTCAGGCCTCACCCCAACACTGGAAAGCCTTCCACAAAGGAAGCACTTCACACAGAAGGGTAATCATTTGCGAAATTATGCAAGCACACTCACCTTCCTGACCGAGGTCAGGAAAGGAACTGTCTGGTCCCAGTGCAAAGCCAAATGCAGTCCAACAGAAAGAGCTAAGTTCTGAGTCTGGGGTACTGCCCCCAGCATTGGCTGCCCCCCATGGGCACAGTTGTGGGGCTCCAGCTATGGACCCCCGTCTCAATCTGCTCCCTGGCAGCTCGGTGAACTTCTGCAATGGTCATTTTCTCGCTGTTGAGCTATCGCTGTAGAATCCACCTCCCTGGCATGCCGTCAGCTCCTGCCACCTCTCAGCTCCTCACCGCCTGCCTGGATTGTACCCCACTGGTTTGAGGGGTGCCCTGGATCCAAGGTCCAACTTTCAGGTCAAACTAACACTCTGCCAGGGTTACGGAAGGGGCAGGTTTGTGTTCACCTAAATTACCAAGTGTCTCCATTGCCCTGTTTGCTACGCCCATGCGCAGAACTCCCGTGCTCCAAGTTTTTTTTATCTTCCCTCCCTCCCTCCGTCCCTCCCTCCTGCCCTTTCTTTCTTTCTTTCTTTCTGTTTTTTGGGCCACACACAGCAATGCTCAGGGGTTACTCCTGGAGGACCATAAGGGATGCTGGAGATCGAACCCGGGTTGACCCCATGCAAGGCAAACTCTTTACCTGCTATACTATCGCTCCGGTCCCTGTTTCCTTCCACATGCCACACAAGTCATACCAAGTACTTCCTGAAAGAAATCTCAGGGTCGCCCGAAGAACAGTTTCCACTGATGGACAATGGGGAACAAGGGGTAAGTTGGAAATCGGTAGGGTGACTGATGGATTTGTTTCAAGGATTTGAGAATATAAAAAAAAAAAAAAAATGGAAATCCAAGATCCCACTAACCAGAAGAACCTGGAAAGGCTCACATCGCAGACTAGAGGCACAGAGCCTGCTCACTGGCTGAGGCCAGGCTTGGCATACGGGAGGCCCAGGCTCAATCACGTGGTTCCCTGAGCACCGCCAGGAGTGACCCCTGAGCACAGAGCCAGGACAAGCCTTCCCCACCTCACCCCTGAGTGCCGCTGGGTCCAGCCCCAAAACAAAACAAAACAAAAAACTAAACCGTATCCAGCACTGGGGAGCACTGCGGAGCACTGTGGAACACTGAGGCTCAAATGTCTTTGCACAAAGCCAAGGAATCAGCAGGAGGAGCGGACCCAGGGCTGCCCTTCACCTGTAGGCCTGGCTGTCGTGAAGACTTCTCCTATCCAGGGCCACCAGGCTGAGGATGTGTTAGACGGGCCTTCCCAGAAGGGAGGGGGGAACTGGAGAGAGACCTCTCACCTCTGGAAGGATCCCATCCTTCCCAGGCAGCTGATTTTCTCTGGCAACTCAGGATTCAGTGGACAGACTGCCAACCGCCTCTGAGAAATCTTGCAAGGGAAGGGATAAATCCAAGAACTCCCTGTCTGTCGCCCCAAGCAGAAACACAAACAGCATCTCTGCTGCTTGTATAGACACAGGGAGCGCTGAGCCAGGCAAACACTGTCGTTAGGGCTGCCTCAAACCAGCTGGAGGCAACTCATAAAGCAAAAACGGAACACCAGGGCCACGGTGTAGCTAGACGCCAGATGCCACAGAAAGAGAAAACTACTGAGGCCAGAGCGACAGTACAGCAGACTGGGCGCTTGTCTTGCACATGACCAACCTGGGTTCGATCCCTAGCATCCCATCTGGTCCCCTGAGTCTGCCAGCAGTAATTCTTGAGTGCAGAGCCAGGAGTTACCCGTGAACGGTGCCAGATGTGTCCCCAAAACCAAAAAAATAAATAAAGAGAAACCTACCTCCTCACCTTTCCCCCAAGACAGGGGAGAGAGGGGGACTGTTCACCTAGCACCTCATTAGTCAAGGGTTGGAACTAGGTTTAGTCACAGATCAGAACTAATGAATTGGAGCTGATGTTTCAGATACAGTTTTTTGGGCTTTGGGCTATACCCTGCAGTGTTCAGGGGCTACTGGGGGAGGTCTTGGGGGGAGGGGGTAGTGCTGGAAATGGAGCCTGGGCTTCCCACACGCAAAGCTTCTGCTAACCTCCTTGGGGTAGCTCTTCAGCTCCAGATCCGGAGGCCCGCTAGGAAAGAGGCAAAGCCCCAAACCTGGACGAAACAACACCCAACAGGGTGCCTGCATGTGCTTGGCACTGCTCTATGTGCTGGGCTGAGAAATTCACCTCATCCTCAAAGAATCCTGAAATGCTGGTCGGGTTGGAGAGGCGTCATGTTAAATCACCAGGTCCACACTATCAGTACTTAAAAAGTTCTGGATTCAGAGGCTGGAGCAATAGTACAGCAGGTAGGGCATTTGCTTTGCACACAACTGACCCAGGTTCAATCCCCGGTGTCCCCTGAGCCCCACCAGGAGTGATCCCTCAGCACTGTCGACTGTGACCAAAAAAATCAAAATGATAAATAAAAAGTTGTGGATTCAGGGGGTCGATGGAGAGGTATAGCAGACAGGGAGTTTGCCCTACTGGAGAGCCCACCAGGGTTTGACCCCAGGCACCCATATGGTCCTCTAAGCCCCAGAAGTGATCCCTGAGCATAGAGTCAGGAATAAGCCCTGATCACCCCCAAGTGTGGTCCCCCAAAAAGGTATGGGGGCTGGAGTAATAGTACAACAGATAGGGTGTTTGCCTTGTACACAGCCAACCCCAGTTCAATATCTGGCATTCCATATGGTCACCCAAACACCACCAGCAATGATTCCTGAGTGCAGAGCCAGGAATAATCCCTGAGCACTGCCAGATGTGACACCCTCCCCCTTACCTCACTCCCCCCAACACACACACAGCTTCTGGATTCAAGGACGGCAGGATAGCACAGAGGCTATGGCACTTGCCTTGCTAATCAAGGATCCCAATTTGAGGGGCCAGAGATAGTAGAGCGGGCAGGGTGTTTGCTTTGCATGGGATGACCTAGGTTCCTTCCACCCAACCCTACATGATCCTCTGAGCACCACCAGGAGTAATCCCTGAACACCATCAGACATGGCTCAAAATCCAAAATCCAAGGCGGCTTCCCCGAGCACTGCCAGAAGGAATTCCTCTCCCCAAAACAAAATAACAGTTCGTTCACTTTGCTATTACAAACCAATGTGTTACTCTTACCTTAAAAATATGATGATGCTTTGAAGCATCCCAGTCCCTACTCTATCGCGTTAAACAACCGACCAGTAACGCTGTGAGAAAGAAACCCCGTGGGAAAAGCATTTCCCTAGGATGTCATTTCCGTGAGGGCAGCGTTTTGTCCTTCCACGCACTGTCGGGGGTGGGGGTGGGGTAGGTTAGACTAAAACCTGAACTTGGAAGTTTTGGGCAATTAGTGCCGCTGCGGGCCATGCAGACCAAGCACCCATCCCGGCCCATCGGTTCCACGTTGCTTATCAAAACCGGTCCTTCCAAAACGCCTTTCACCCCTGCAGCCAAGCAGCGCACCTCTTGCGCCCAGGGCCAATTCCTTAGCGACCTCTTGCCCTTCCTCTACCCGAGCCTCTCCATCCCAGACTCAAGACGGGCGTGTGCAAACGGGTGCGCCCCGGAGGCCGGCGCACGAAGACACTGGGGGTACCGAAGAGACGTTTCCTGGGCAGCCCCGGGGGACGCTCCTGGTGCCACGTGGCTTCGCCAGCTGAAAGCCCGGGCTGCAGCCCGTCCAGAGGGGTCAGGACAGAGATCCAGGCTTGCCTCCCCGGGGCCTCGAGCGCGGGAACGGTGGCGGGCGGTTTCCTCCCAAGATCCCTTACCTGGTCCTGGGAGGAAGACACAGTGACAACTGCCACCAGGAGCAGCCCGTGTCCGCGGCAGGCTGCACGAACACGCCGCCTGCAGCCGGGAGCCGCCCCTTCTCCCCGCCCTCACGCCCCTCCTGCCGACCAATCGCCGGCCGGGCAAAGCCCCGCCAGCCGCGCGGGCCAGGAGCATCCTCCAGGGCCAGCCGCCGCAGGCCGCTCCCGCAAGCCGCCTGCGCAGTGGCCGGGCGCCGCGGCGCGCTTGCGCAGTCCAGGGACAGGCCGCGCTGGACCCCGCCCCGTCCTGCTGCTCGGCCTCCGCGCCGTGCGTGCGAGGGACGTCGGGGGCGGCGCCGCTGCAGTTGCCCCTGGTAACGGGGGAGGCAGCAGCAGCAGCAGCGGCAGCAGCAGCAGCAGCAGGAGGAGGAGGAGGAGGTGGAGGAGGAGGCGGAGGAGGAGGAGGCGGAGGAGGAGGAGGAGGAGGGACCCGGCGGGAGGATGGTGAGTGTGGGGGCCCGAGCTCCCTCCAGAGCCAGCCGATCTCTGGCCTCCAGTTCTCCAGACCCGGGTGGGGCCCGGCGCCTTGCTGCTCAGGAGGGAAGCGCCCCGCCTGCCATCTGGGTCCTGGGGTGGCTTCGCGGGGCGGCGGGGACTCCCCAAGGGTGCGCGCTGGAAGGAGACCTGGGCCCTGGGAAGAAGGCGGGGCTTGCAAGCTTTGCACGGGGCTCGGTAGGGCGTGTGGCGGCGGGTGCGGAGCCCAGGCCGCTTCTCTGCTCGGGTTGGGGTCAAGGATGAGGGCGGATCCGGGGAGCCGCGGCAGAGCAGCATCGGCAGGCGTCGAGGTTCCCGGGGACGCGGCCTCCCCGCGCCGCGGGAGGATGGGGTCCGCCCGGGGCCAGGCCCGGAGCCGGAGGAGGGTTAGCGCCCGGGTCTTGGGAGCGCTGGCGGTCCCCGAGGAGGTGGTAGCCTAGCGCTCCCCTTCCCCGCGGGCCGCGGGCCCCCGGGGGCAGGTGGGAGTCCCCCGGCTCCGGAGGCGGGAGGTCAGCCTGGCGGGCGCGCTGCTGCAAACCCCTGTTGTTTTTTGCGGGGTGAGGGTACTGAATTACAGGGTTGATGGTGATGACCGATTTAAATCCATCCTGATGGAGGCAGATTTGCTTGCCACGTCCCTGCTGGTCTCCCGAGGAACCTTTGGTTGCAGCCTCCTTTTGCGTTGGGAACGCACCAGAACGTTTGGGGTCCCAAACTGGAAAGAAGTGGAAATTGAAATGAGATGAGTGACCATCAATTTGGCGCGAGGTTTTCCTCCCTTGCCGCTAATTGTACACTGTGTGATGTGTCCCACGTGGCTGTTGATACTTTGTTCCTATACTTTGTTCCTAGTTTCTTTCTTTTTTGTTTTGGAGCCACACCCGGCAATGCTCCGAGGTTACTCCTGGTTTTGCACTCAGGAATTACTTCTGGCAGTGCTCAGGGGACCATGTGAGGTGCTGAAGATCTAAATTGGGGTCAGCCACATGCAAGGCAAGCTCCTTAGCCCCTATACTTTCTCTCTGGTCCCATCTTTTTTGGGGGGCAGGTGGCTTTTTGGGGTCACACCCTGAGATGCTTAGGGGTTACTCCTGGCTCTGTACTTACTCCTGGAATTACTCCCGGCAGTGCTGGGAGGACCATATGGGATGTCCGTGAGCAAACCCAGATCAGCGGCTTGCAGGGCAAACACCTACCCAGTGACTCCTGGCCCCTGTTCTTACGTGATTTCTGTGTAGTTAATATGAGGGAACCCAAATAGCAGAGCGATAGTACAGCGGGTAGGGCATTTAATCTTGCATGCAGGCCAACCCAGGTTCAATTCCTGGCACTCAGTGTGCTCCTCTGAGCCCCTCCAACAGTGACCCCTGAGCTCAGTACCAGGAGTAAGCCCTGAGGACCACCCGTTGTGGCCCAAAAACAACGAGAGAGAGAGAGAGAGAGAGAGAGAGAGAGAGAGAGAGAGAATAAAATGGAGTCTCTCTTTAGAGAAAATCAAAATCAAAACTAGTCAGAGTTGATTTTGAAGCTAAGAGCAGAAGGCCACCAAGAGCTGTCTGAAAATTATGGTCTCATCCCAAACTCCAGTCCCTTCTTGAGTTCAGAAATGTTAAACTTATTGATGAGCATTATTTTTTTTTTAAATATTTGGTTTTGGTGCCACACTGGGCAATGCTCAGGAGTTACTCCTGGGCTCTGTACTCAGGAATTATTCCTGATAATGCTCAGAGATTATTCCTGATAATGCTCATTCCATGTAGTGCTCAGGGACTATATGGAATGCCCAGGATCCAACCCAGCTGGGCATGTGCAAGGCAAGCCCCTATAGCAGGGCTATAGCTCTGCTCCTCAATTCATTGGTGAAGTGAGAAGCTAATGTCTGTCCTCAAGGATGAAATACTTGTACCTTGGCTCAGACCACGCAGTGCAATGAGTACATTTCAATAAAAAGAAAGAACTTCATTGATTTTCCATTGTCAGATTGTTGAAAAAGTAGAATTATTTGATCTGAAGTTGCCAATCCTATTTCACACTTGCTGCATTGCAGTTTTATTAACCTCGGGCTAAACAGATTTTCGCATGTTTTCCTTTTATTAATCGTTTATACATGAGCTGTCCATTTAAAGGCTAAGTTTTTCTCAACAAATGAGTACAAGCATAAATATTTATACAGAAAATAAGTAGAGTTGAAATGAAAAAGGCATGCCAAACTAACAGAGATGGGGATGCCATGATAGATGGGAAACACATGAATTGGGTGATTTTTTTTTCCTAGCATGTTTATCAGAAGTGGACTGTGTAATTACATAATTGTTTAATTTATAATTACAGGCCACAATATGTTAACCGCTGCTCATGTTTCTGGTTTTCAATGAATATTGTACACAACAAATTGACAATGTATATACAGCACTATTGTACACAAATGTTGGACTGAATGATCAAACAGAAATCCTGTTTGCTTTTTTGCCTAGTGAATAAAACGGGACCAGAGAGATAGTACAGGGGATTAAAGTACCTGCCTTGTTGCAGGCTTTAGTTAAGTCCCCAGAGCACTGCTAAGAGTTATCCCAGAGCGTCACTGGGTGTGCCCCCCCAAAAAAAGACTAAATTGAATAAGAACTTAAAGTGAATTATTTTATATTGTTTATCTGGCTTTCCGAATACACTTTATTTTTTTCTGCTTTTTGGGTCACACCCGGCGATGCACAGGGGTTACTCCTGGCTTTGCACTCGGGAATTACTCCTGGCGGTGCTCAGGGGACCATATGAGATGCTGGGAATTGAGCCGCGTGCAAGGTAAATGCCCTACCAACGCTCCAGCTCCTGCAATACATTTTTTTCTCTTCAAAAGTGCGAACTATTCTTAGAACTGAAAGTGGAACATGGAATTTATTTATTTATTGCTTTTTGAGTTATACCCAGCGATACTCAGGGGTTACTCCTAGCTCTATACCCAGAAATTACTCCTGGGGGTTTTTGGGGAACCATGTGTGATGCCAGGGATCGCCCAAGTTGTCTGTGTGCAAGACAAATGCCCTACCCGTTCTACTATGGCTCTGGCCCCGGAACACGGAATTTAAACATTCACAGATGTGATTGGGTCTCACTTGGGATCACCTGGGGCCCTATTGCACTGAAGGAAGGATGAGTCCTGAGTTTAGAGCCTAATTTTTTTTTCCTTTTATTTATCTCCATTTTTTTAATTAATTTATTTATTTATTGAATCGCTGTGGGAAAAATTACAAAGCTTTCAAGTTTAGGTCTCAGTCATGCAAATATCAATCACAATTCCCTTTACCAATACTTATTTTTCACCACGCAGAACCCCAATAAACCCCCACCCCCCAACCCTCCAATGTCTGTGGGGTAGATGAATTCTGGTTAACACTCTGTCTACTTTGACTAGCTTCATTGTTTTGATAAAAGTTGCACCATTATTATTTAGACTTTACCACCCCCTCCCCCCGAACTCAGCCATGCTGAAAAAGCATTGTGAAATGATCTGCTTTCTATAGCTGGGTTCGAAAATTAACCCTGCAAGTATTTCTACTGAGAGTCAGATAATTAAGAGATTGGTCTCTGTGCTTCTGGAGTCGTGGCCGTGCCGGAGAGCCGCTCGTGGGGGGCAACTGGTGACCTCGGTCGGGTGTGAAGGACGGGCCGGAGCGCGCCCCCCTCCCCGTCCCATGAGGTATCCATAGAGCCTAATTTTTAAAACTCCAGCCATGACATACACAGTTTTTAAAAAATTGGTAAGACTGCAACAAAAACTCATCATTGCCACTAAACATTTAGAATAAGTTGTTTTGACCTTGTCTTGTGCTACAAAACCTTTGGAGGAAGACAAAGATGATAGCAAGTTGAGCACCTTAATCGCTGTCATTTCATCGACCCATAGCTTTATAGCTTTTCCAAAAAAAATTTTATTTCACCCGAGAAATTTTATATTTCACTCACCCAGTATGCATGACCAGAAAGATATTCCAGGAGGGAGGCACTTGCCTTGCATGTGGTCACTTCAGCGACAGCCCTGATTTGATCCCTAGCTCCACCTTTGGTCCCCCAAGCACTGCCAGGAGTGATCCCGGAGCACAGAACCTAGAGTCAGCCCTGAGCACCTCTGGGTGTGGCCCAAAAAAGCAAAGGAAAAAGAAATGTACGTGATTCTGGGGCTGGAAAGACCCTCAGGGGTTAACGTGCTTCCCTTGCATCCCACTGACCCCAGTTCAAACCCCCAGTCCCACAATCGGCAGGAGTCACTCCTGAGCACAGAGCTGGGAATGACCCCTGAGCACTGCAGATCCTGAGTCTATAAGCATATAAAAGTATATACAAGGGGCTGGAGCGATAGCACAGTGGGTAAGGCGTTTGCCTTGCACACGGCCGACCCAGGTTCAATTCCCAGCATCCCGTATGGTCCCCTGAGCACTGCCAACAGTAATTCCTGAGTGCAAATCCAGGAGTAACCCCTGTGCATTGCCGGGTGTGATCCAAAAAGCCAACAAAAAAAAAAAAAAGTATATACAAATAAAACATAGACTGATACTAAGTCAGAAAGAAGTTTACTTTAAAACGACCCCCACATTCAGTTACACAACCCCATACGGGATCATAACCCACAGCTGAAGAAACGAGGTCCTGGACAGCTCTCCAGGAGTTCCTCACGGAGCACTTTGTTGGGGT